CAGGACGCCTTGCAGACATCCAGGGCGGCGTCCGGCCTCCCAAGACGCCGACCAGACGCCCGGGTCGGCGTCTGACCTCCCAGGACGCTGTGCAGGCGCCCACAACGGCGACCAGGCGCCCACGGCGTCTGACCTCCCAGGGCGGCGTCCTCCTGCTCGGCGCCCTCCAGCCAGGCGCCCTCCAGCTCGGCGCCCTTGCAGTGGCCCCCGTGCCCACTGCTGCAGGTCGGCTGCAACCCCCGCACATCCGACCACAAGGTCGGCTCCGCCCAAGCGAGGACGGGGCCTAACAACATTCCAGTTGCCAGCGGGGTGATGGAAAGCGGGAGAATGGGGCGGGGTGATGGAAAGAGGGAGAATGGGGCGGGGTGATGGAATGCGGGAGAATGGGGCAGGGTGATGGAAAGCGGGAGAATGGGGCGGGGTGATGGAAAGGGGGAGAATGGGGCGGGGTGATGGAAAGCGGGAGAATGGGGTGGGGTGATGGAAAGTGGGAGAATGGGGCGGGGTGATGGAAAGCGAGAGAATGGGGCGGGGTGATGGAAAGAGGGAGAATGGGGCGGGGTGATGGAAGGAGGGAGATTGGGGCGGGGTGATGGAAGGCGGGAGAATGGGGCGGGGTGATGGAAAGCGGGAGAATGGGGCGGGGTGATGGAAAGAGGGAGAATGGGGCGGGGTGATGGAAAGAGGGAGAATGGGGCGGGGTGATCGAAAGAGGGAGAATGGGGCGGGGTGATGGAAAGCGGGAGAATGGGGCGGGGTGATGGAAATCGGGGAAATGGGGCGGGGTGATGGAAAGAGGGAGAATGGGGCGGGGTGATGGAAAGAGGGAGAATGGGGCGGGGTGATGGAAAGCGGGAGAATGGGGCGGGGTGATGGAAAGCGGGAGAATCGGGCGGGGTGATGGAAAGCGGGAGAATCGGGCGGGGTGATGGAAAGCGGGCGAATGGGGCGGGGTGATGGAAAGCGGGAGAATGGGGCGGGGTGATGGAAAGCGGGAGAATGGGGCGGGGTGCTGGAAAGCGGGAGAATGGGGCGGGGTGATGGAAAGCGGGAGAATGGGGCGGGGTGATGGAAAGAGGGAGAATGGGGCGGGGTGATGAATGGGGCGGGGTGATGGAAAGCGGGAGAATGGGGCGGGGTGCTGGAAAGCGGGAGAATGGGGCGGGGTGATGAATGGGGCGGGGTGATGGAAAGCGGGAGAATGGGGCGGGGTGATCGAAAGAGGGAGAATGGGGCGGGGTGATGGAAAGCGGGAGAATGGGGCGGGGTGATGGAAAGCGGGAGAATCGGGCGGGGTGATGGAAAGCGGGAGAATCGGGCGGGGTGATGGAAAGCGGGCGAATGGGGCGGGGTGATGGAAAGCGGGAGAATGGGGCGGGGTGATGGAAAGCGGGAGAATGGGGCGGGGTGCTGGAAAGCGGGAGAATGGGGCGGGGTGATGGAAAGCGGGAGAATGGGGCGGGGTGATGGAAAGCGGGAGAATGGGGTGGGGTGATGAATGGGGCGGGGTGATGGAAATCGGGGAAATGGGGCGGGGTGATGGAAAGCGGGAGAATGGGGCGGGGTGATGGAAAGAGGGAGAATCGGGCGGGGTGATGGAAAGCGGGAGAATGGGGCGGGGTGATGGAAAGCGGGAGAATCGGGCGGGGTGATGGAAAGCGGGAGAATCGGGCGGGGTGATGGAAAGCGGGCGAATGGGGCGGGGTGATGGAAAGCGGGAGAATGGGGCGGGGTGATGGAAAGCGGGAGAATGGGGCGGGGTGCTGGAAAGCGGGAGAATGGGGCGGGGTGATGGAAAGCGGGAGAATGGGGCGGGGTGATGGAAAGCGGGAGAATGGGGTGGGGTGATGAATGGGGCGGGGTGATGGAAAGCGGGAGAATGGGGCGGGGTGCTGGAAAGCGGGAGAATGGGGCGGGGTGATGGTAAGAGGGAGTGTGGGGCGGGGTGATGGTAAGAGGGAGGGAGGGGAGGGGTGATGGAAAGCGGGAGAATGGGGCGGGGTGATGGAAAGCGGGAGAATGGGGCAGGGTGATGGAAAGCGGGAGAATGGGGCGGGGTGATGGAAAGAGGGAGAATGGGGCGGGGTGATGGAAGGCGGGAGAATGTCGTTGGAAGTGTGGAAGTCGGCGCACGGGCCGGTGTCAGGGCGGATGCCGGTTCACCCGCCAACGGACACCTCGACGGCGACGCTGCCTCTGCTCGCTGAGGTCGGTGAGCTTGCTGGTGAGGACGCCGAGGACGTCCCCGATCCCTGCCCTTCACCTGCCCCTCCCCTTGTTGCCGACTTGCATGGGCTGACCCCGACGTCGGCCTCCGGTGATGAGGGGAGAACTGGGGCGTCACCTGTGGTGCTGGCCCCAAGCATCGCCGGTGGCCGACGTGATGCTGTGCAAGCCGGCGTGGGAGCAAAGCTGACGCCGACTGGGAGGCAGCAGGTGGTGCAGCCGACTTTGGTGAAGCCGGTGAAGGAGACGCCTGCAGAACAGCAGCTGACAGGGGAGCAGACAACAGCGACGCCGACCAAGGAGCAGTCGGCGACCGGGCAGTCGGCAGGGGAGCCGACCACAAGGGAGAAGTCGGCTGGGACGCCGGCTGAGGTGCAGCAGGACGCCGAGGACAGCGACGACGGCGACGATGGAGGGGACGCCGAGGAGGTCCAGCCAGGACCACAGCGTACCAGCCACCTCCGGAGGCCGCCTGACTTCTTCGTCCCCGCTGCCTTCACCACGGTGTATGACGTGGACGATGATGACGAAGACCTGCTGTACGACGACGCCGAGGAGGATGAGGAGTTTCTGGAGCTCGACCTCGACATGCAGGCCGACCCCGGGCACCGTTGGGACATCTCGACGATGACGGTGAAGGAGGCGTTGGCAAGCTGGAAGGGCCCGGCGGTGAAGGCCGCCATGGAAGAGGAGATCTGCAGCCTCATCAACATGGGAACGTGGGAGCTGGTCGAACGTCCGCCGGGAGTGAACATCATGAAGAACCGGTGGGTGCTGACGACGAAGTACCACATCGACGACATCGTTGAGCGCGAGAAGGCAAGGCTGGTTATGAAGGGCTTCACGCATGTGTACGGGGCCGACTACGACGAGACGTTCGCGCCAGTGGGCAGCCACGTCACGCTGAGGATTTTCCTCAGCATCGTTGTTGTCCTCAACCTCAACCTGATGCAGCTCGACATGAAGAACGCCTTCCTGCAGAGCAAGCTCGACCGGGTGCTCTACATGTCCCAGCCGGACTACTTCAACGACGGAACCAGCCGGGTGTGCAAGCTGCTGAAGAGCCTGTACGGGCTGAAGCAGTCGCCGCTGCTGTGGTACTTGGCGCTCAACGACGTGCTGGTCAGTTACGACTGTGGATGTATCTACATTTGATAATGTATTTGCATCTAAAAAAAAAAAAAAAAAAAAAAAAAACGACGTGCTGGTCGGCGCCGGGTGGAAGAAGAGCCAGGTCGACGAGGCTCTGTACTTCAAGGTCGACGGCGACGGAGTGGCCTGCTGGGTGCTGGTCTACGTCGACGACCTGCTCGCCACCAGCAGCAGCACCGAGATGCTGAAGGAGCTGAAGGAGCTGCTGGAGTCCGCCTTCGAGCTGCGTGAGATCTCGCCGGTGCAGAAGTACCTCGGGCTGGAGATCGTCCGCGACAGGTCGCGGGGAAGCTGTGGCTGCAGCAGCAGGGCTATGCCGACAAGCTGCGTAGGCACTTCATCGATGAGGAGCAGACCGGGCGCACCCCGAAGACGCCGGTCTCGGTCGACGCCTACGCCGAGCTCACCTTCGACGACAAGGAAGCACAGGAGCGACAGGAGGAGGAGTACCGGTAGAAGGTCGGCTCGCTGCAGTTCGCGGCGACGACGACGAGGCCGGACATCGCCTTCGCCTGCAGCAAGCTGGGGAGCGGACTCACGGTGAGGAGCGACCAGCACTGGCGCGAGGTTGACCGCTGCCTCGCCTACCTCGCCAATACGCGTGATACCGCCCTGGAGTTCGGCGGTGGATCTGAGTCGCTGGAGCTGGTCGGCTACGTGGACGGCGACGACGCCGGTGACAAGCAGAACACGACGAGCACGGGTGGCTACGTGTTCGTCTACGGAGGGGCCACAGTCTCCTGGCCGAGCCAGCGCATCAAGTGCGCGACGTTGTCGTCAACCGAGTCGGAGTACGTGGCGGCCACCGAAGCCGGCAAGGAGGGACGCCGTCTTCGTTTCCTCCTTGCAGAGTTCTGGCAGCTGGACGCCGGGAAGCCGACTGACCTGCGAGTGGACAACAAGTCGGCCATCTCGGTCGCCGAGGGCATGGGGTTGACGGGCAACCTCAAGCACATGGAGCGGCGACAGGCCTGGCTGCAGCACATGGTGAAGCACGGGAAGTTCTCACTGAAGTACATCCCGACCGCTGAGCAGCCAGCCGACTTCCTGACGAAGGCGCTGCACTATACGGCCTTCAACCGGTGCTCCGTCGCAATCGGCCAGGTGCGCTTGGCCGACGTGGGCGACGGCGACGACGACGTGCAGCAGTAGGTGCCATGCCCTCTTGCATGGCTGGTGCGGTGACCGGCGTGCTGTGCGTTGTGTGCACGCCAACGGGCTATTCTCCGAGTAGTACTGCCGTGTGGGCTGGGGGCCCAAGCATGAACGCGGCAAGGGAGTGTCAACGGGAAGGCCCCATCCTCGCTTGGGCGGAGCCGACCTTGTAGTCGGATGTGCGGGCGTTGCAGCCGACCTGCAGCAGTGGGCATGGGGGCCACTGCAAGGGCGCCGAGCTGGAGGGCGCCTGGCTGGAGGGCGCCGAGCAGGAGGACGCCGCCCTGGCAGGTCAGACGCCGTGGGCGCCTGGTCGACGTCGTGGGCGCCTGCACGGCGTCCTGGGAGGTCAGACGCCGACCCGGGCGGCTGGTCAGCGTCCTGGGAGGCCGGACGCCACCCTGGATGTTTGCAAGGCGTCCTGGGCACCTGGACACCGGACTGGGGACGCCGGGCATTGGTGGCCGACTACGGACTGCGCTGGTCGGCCAGGCGTGGTTGCCCGATCGACTGGGATATCCGGGCGACGTGTGCGAGTGTCGCCGGGGTGGAGTCTGCGAGGCCGACCTCGGGGTGGTATCCCGAGGTCGACGTGGCTGGTGGGCGCAGTCACTGGCGTGGAGTCTGCCAGGCGTCTGCGCTGTGCATGTGACAGGGAAGGGCGCACCAACCAGCTGCACACACCTGCGAAGCAGGTGCACCGTTGTCCTGCGGGTGCAACGCTGTGCAGCCGACTTACTGCAGCGTTGGCACACCATGGACTTGCAACGTTCGCGCACCGCTACTCTACAACGCTGGAGCGGTGCGAGCGCTGCTGCGCTGGAGCACGGTCGACCATGCTGCGCTGGAGGTCGACCAGCAGCCTAGCTAGCTCTGATGTAGTCTGTGTTGCCAATGTTGTTGCAACCATAGTTGTCAACTTTCGCTAGTGAAACTCTTGCCAATTTGCCCCGTGAACTAGCAAGCAGTGTGTGCACTAGGAAAACGACTAAGAAACAAAGAACGCAGCGATCACAAGAGCACCCGTGCCTAGCTCGTAGTCTAGCTCCCATTGCAGCAGTTATCTTTGCACCCGCCCCCTTCTCCCTCTTTCCATCTCCCCGTCCCATTCTCCCGCTTTCCAGCACCCCGCCCCATTCTCCCGCTTTCCATCACCCCGCCCCATTCTCCCGCTTTCCAGCACCCCGCCCGATTCTCCCACTTTCCATCACCCTGCCCAATTCTCCCGCTTTCCATCACCCCACCCCATTCTCCCGCTTTCCATCACCCCGCCCCATTCTCCCGCTTTCCATCACCCGCCCCATTCTCCCGCTTTCCATCACCCCGCCCCATTCTCCCGCTTTCTAACACCCCGCCCCATTCTCCCCCTTTCCATCACCCCGCCCCATTCTCCCTCATTCCATCACCCTGCCCCATTCTCCCTCTTTCCATCACCCCGCCCCATTCTCCCGTTTTACATCACACCGCCCCATTCTCCCTCTTTCCATCACCCCGCCCCATTCTCCCTCTTTCCATCATCCCGCCCCTTTCTCCCTCTTTCCATAACCCAGCCCCATTCTCCCGTTTTCCATCACCTGCCCCAGTCTCCTGCTTTCCATCACCCCGCCCCATTCTCCCGCTTTCCATCACCCCGCCCCATTCTCCCGCTTTCCAACACCCCGCCCCATTCTCCTGCTTTCCATCACCCCGCCCCATTCTCCCGCTTTCCAGCACCCCGCCCCATTCTCCCGCTTTCCATCACCCCGCCCGATTCTCCCGCTTTCCATCACCCCGCCCCATTCTCCCGCTTTCCATCACCCCGCCCCATTCTCCCGCTTTCCATCAGCCCGCCCCATTTTCCCTCTTTCCATCACCCCGCCCCATTCTCCCGCTTTCCATCACCCGCCCCATTCTCCCACTTTCCATCATCCCGCCCCATTCTCCCTCTTTCCATCACCCCGCCCCATTCTCCCTCTTTCCATCACCCCGTCCCATCCTCCCTCTTTCCATCACCCTGCCCCATTCTCCCTCTTTCCATCACCCCGCCCCATTCTCCCGCTTTCCATCACCCCGCCCCATTCTCCCTCTTTCCGTCACCCCGCCCCATTCTTCCTCTTTCCATCACCCCGCCCGATTCTCCCGCTTTCCATCACCCCGGCCCATTCTCCCTCTTTCCATCACCCCGCCCCATTCTCCCTCTTCCCATCACCCCGCCCCATTCTCCTCTTTCCATCACCCCGCCCCATTCTCCCGCTTTCCATCACCCCGCCCCATTCTCCCTCTTTCCATCACCCTGCCCCATTCTCCCTCTTTCCATCACCCCGCCCCATTCTCCCGCTTTCCATCACCCCGCCCCATTCTCCCTCTTTCCGTCACCCCGCCCCATTCTCCCTCTTTCCATCACCCCGCCCCATTCTCCCTCTTTCCAGCACCCCGCCCCATTCTCCCGCTTTCCATCACCCCGCCCCATTCTCCCGCTTTCCATCACCCCGCCCCGTTCTCCCTCTTTCCATCACCCCGCCCCATTCTCCCGCTTTCCATCACCCGCCCCATTCTCCTGCTTTCCATCACCCCGCCCCATTCTCCCGCTTTCCATAACCCCGCCCCATTCTCCTTCTTTCCATCACCCCGCCCCATTCTCCATCTTTCCATAACCCCGCCCCATTCTCCCGCTTTCCATCACCCCGCCCCATTCTCCCGCCCTCCATCACCAAGCCCCGTTCTCCCTCTTTCCATCACCCCGCCCCATTCTCCCGCTTTCCATCACCCCGCCCCATTCTCCCGCTTTCCATCACCCCGCCCCACTCTCCCTCTTACCATCACCCCGCCCCACTCTCCCTCTTACCATCACCCCGCCCCATTCTCCCTCTTTCCATCACCCCGCCCCATTCTCCCTCTTTCCATCACCCCGCCCCATTCTCCCGCTTTCCATCACCCCGCCCCATTCTCCCGCTTTCCATCACCCCGCCCCATTCTCTCGATTCCATCACCCCGCCCGATTCTCCCGCTTTCCATCACCCCGCCCGATTCTCCCGCTTTCCATCACCCCGTCCGATTCTCCCGCTTTCCATCACCCGCCCCATTCTCCCGCTTTCCATCACCCCGCCCCATTCTCCCGCTTTCCATCACCCCGCCCCACTCTCCCTCTTACCATCACCCCGCCCCACTCTCCCTCTTACCATCACCCCGCCCCATTCTCCCTCTTTCCATCACCCCGCCCCATTCTCCCTCTTTCCATCACCCCGCCCCATTCTCCCGCTTTCCATCACCCCGCCCCATTCTCCCGCTTTCCATCACCCCGCCCCATTCTCCCGATTCCATCACCCCGCCCCATTCTCCCGCTTTCCATCACCCCGCCCGATTCTCCCGCTTTCCATCACCCCGTCCGATTCTCCCGCTTTCCATCACCCGCCCCATTCTCCCGCTTTCCATCACCCCGCCCCATTCTCCCGCTTTCCATCACCCCGCCCCATTCTCCCTCTTTCCATCACCCCGCCCCATTCTCCCTCTTTCCATCACCCCGCCCCATTCTCCCTCTTTCCATCACCCCGCCCCATTCTCCCTCTTTCCATCACCCCGCCCCATTCTCCCGCTTTCCATCACCCCGCCCGATTCTCCCGCTTTCCATCACCCCGCCCCATTCTCCCGCTTTCCATCACCCGCCCCATTCTCCCGCTTTCCATCACCCCGCCCCATCCTCCCGCTTTCCATCACCCCGCCCCACTCTCCCTCTTACCATCACCCCGCCCCATTCTCCCTCTTACCATCACCCCGCCCCATTCTCCCTCTTTCCATCACCCCGCCCCATTCTCCCTCTTTCCATCACCCCGCCCCATTCTCCCGCTTTCCATCACCCCGCCCCATTCTCCCGCTTTCCATCACCCCGCCCCATTCTCCCGATTCCATCACCCCGCCCCATTCTCCCGCTTTCCATCACCCCGCCCGATTCTCCCGCTTTCCATCACCCCGTCCGATTCTCCCGCTTTCCATCACCCGCCCCATTCTCCCGCTTTCCATCACCCCGCCCCATTCTCCCGCTTTCCATCACCCCGCCCCACTCTCCCTCTTACCATCACCCGCCCCATTCTCCATATTTCCATCACCCCGCCCCATTCTCCCTCTTTCCATTACCCCGCCCCATTCTCCCGCTTTCCATCACCCCGCCCATTCTCCCGCTTTCCATCACCCCGCCCCATTCTCCCGGTTTCCATCACCCCGCCTCATTCTCCTGCTTTCCATCACCCCGCCCCATTCTCCTTCTTTCCATCACCCCGCCCCATTCTCCCTCTTTCCATCACCCCGCCCCATTCTCCCTCTTTCCATAACCCCGCCCCATTCTCCCGCTTTCCATCACCCCGCCCATTATCCCGCTTTCCATCATCCCGTCCCATTCTCCCGCTTTCCATCACCCTGCCCCATTCTCCCGCTTTGCATCACCCCGCCCCATTCTCCCGCTTTCCATCACCCCGCCCCTCTCTCCCTCTTACCATCACCCCGCCCCACTCTCCCTCTTACCATCACCCTGCCCCATTCTCCTGCTTTCCATCACCCCGCACCATTCTCCCTCTTTCCATCACCCCGCCCCATTCTCCCTCTTTCCATCACCCCGCCCCATTCTCCCGCTTTCCATCACCCCGCCCCATTCTCCCGATTCCATCACCCCGCCCCATTCTCCCGCTTTCCATCACCCCGCCCGATTCTCCCGCTTTCCATCACCCCGTCCGATTCTCCCGCTTTCCATCACCCGCCCCATTCTCCCGCTTTCCATCACCCCGCCCCATTCTCCCGCTTTCCATCACCCCGCCCCACTCTCCCTCTTACCATCACCCGCCCCATTCTCCATATTTCCATCACCCCGCCCCATTCTCCCTCTTTCCATTACCCCGCCCCATTCTCCCGCTTTCCAGCATCCCGCCCCATTCTCCCGCTTTCCATCACCCCGCCCGATTCTCCCGCTTTCCATCACCCCGCCCCATTCTCCCGCTTTCCATCACCCCGCCCCATTCTCCCGCTTTCCATCACCCCGCCCCATTCTCCCTCTTTCCATCACCCCGCCCCATTCTCCCGCTTTCCATCACCCGCCCCATTCTCCCGCTTTCCATCACCCCGCCACATTCTCCCGCTTTCCATCACCCCGCCCCACTCTCCCTCTTACCATCACCCCGCCCCATTCTCCCTCTTTCCATCACCCAACCCCATTCTCCCTCTTTCCATCACCCCGCCCCATTCTCCCGCTTTCCATCACCCCGCCCCATTCTCCCGCTTTCCATCACCCCGCCCCATTCTCCCTCTTTCCATCACCCCGCCCCATTCTCCCTCTTTCCATCACCCCGCCCCATTCTCCCTCTTTCCATAACCCCGCCCCATTCTCCCGCTTTCCATCACCCCGCCCCATTCTCCCGCTTTCAATCACCCCGCCCCATTCTCCCGCTTTCCATCACCCCGCCCCATTCTCCCGCTTTCCATCACCCGCCCCATTCTCCCGCTTTCCATCACCCGCCCCATTCTCCCGCTTTCCATCACCCCGCCCCACTCTCCCTCTTACCATCACCCCGCCCCATTCTCCCTCTTACCATCACCCAACCCCATTCTCCCTCTTTCCATCACCCTGCCCCATTCTCCCGCTTTCCATCACCCCGCCCCATTCTCCCTCTTTCCATCACCCCGCCCCATTCTCCCTCTTTCCATCACCCCGCCACATTCTCCCTCTTTCCATAAACCCGCCCCATTCTCCCGCTTTCCATCACCCCGCCCCATTCTCCCGCTTTCCATCACCCCGCCCCATTCTCCCGCTTTCCATCACCCCGCCCCATTCTCCCGCTTTCAATCACCCCGCCCCATTCTCCTGCTTTCCATCACCCCGCCCCATTCTCCCGCTTTCCATCACCCCGCCCCATTCTCCCTCTTTCCATCACCCCGCCTCATTCTCCCTTCCATCACCTCGCCCCAATCTCCCGCTTTCCATCACCCAGCCCCATTCTCCCGCTTTCCATCACCCCACCCCATTCTCCCTCTTTCCATCACCCCGCCCCATTCTCCCTCTTTCCATCAACCCGCCCCATTCTCCCGCTTTCCATCACCCCGCCCCATTCTCCCGCTTTCCATCACCCCGCCCCATTCTCCCTCTTTCCATCACCCCGCCCCATTCTCCCGCTTTCCATCACCCCGCCCCATTCTCCCGCTTTCCATCACCCCGCCCCATTCTCCCTCTTTCCATCACCCCGCCCCATTCTCCCTCTTTCCATAACCCCGCCCCATTCTCCCGCTTTCCATCACCCCGCCCATTATCCCGCTTTCCATCATCCCGACCCATTCTCCCGCTTTCCATCACCCTGCCCCATTCTCCCGCTATCCAGCACCTCGACCCATTCTCCCGCTTTCCATCACCCCGCCCCATTCTCCCTCTTTCCATCACCCCGCCCCATTCTCCCTCTTTCCATCACCCCGCCCCATTCTCCCTCTTTCCATCACCCCCCCCCATTCTCCCACTTTCCATCACCCCGCCCCATTCTCTCTCTTTCCATCACCCCGCCCCATTCTCCCGCTTTCCAGCACCCCGCCCCATTCTCCTGCTTTCCAGCACCCCGCCTGATTCTCTCGCTTTCCATCACCCCGCCCCATTCTCCTGCTTTCCATCACCTAGCCCTATTCTCCCGCTTTCCATACCCCGCCCCATTCTCCCTCTTTCCATCACCCCGCCCCATTCTCCCGCTTTCTATCACCCGCCCCATTCTCCCGCTTTCATCACCTCGCCCCATTCTCCCGCTTTCCATCACCCCGCCCCATTCTCCCTCTTTCCATCACCCCGCCCCATTCTCCCTCTTTCCATCACCCCGCCCCATTCTCCCTCTTTCCATCACCCCGCCCCATTCTCCCTCTTTCCATCACCCCGCCCCATTCTCCCTCTTTCCATCACCCCGCCCCATTCTCCCTCTTTCCATCACCCCGCCCCATTCTCCCTCTTTCCATCACCCCGCCCCATTCTCCCGCTTTCCATCACCCCGCCCGATTCTCCCGCTTTCCATCACCCCGCCCCATTCTCCCGCTTTCCATCACCCGCCCCATTCTCCCGCTTTCCATCACCCCGCCCCATCCTCCCGCTTTCCATCACCCCGCCCCACTCTCCCTCTTACCATCACCCCGCCCCATTCTCCCTCTTTCCATCACCCAACCCCATTCTCCCTCTTTCCATCACCCCGCCCCATTCTCCCGCTTTCCATCACCCCGCCCCATTCTCCCTCTTTCCATCACCCCGCCCCATTCTCCCTCTTTCCATCACCCCGCCCCATTCTCCCTCTTTCCATAAACCCGCCCCATTCTCCCGCTTTCCATCACCCCGCCCCATTCTCCCGCTTTCCATCACCCCGCCCCATTCTCCCGCTTTCCATCACCCCGCCCCATTCTCCCGCTTTCAATCACCCCGCCCCATTCTCCTGCTTTCCATCACCCCGCCCCATTCTCCCGCTTTCCATCACCCCGCCCCATTCTCCCTCTTTCCATCACCCCGCCTCATTCTCCCTTCCATCACCCCGCCCCATTCTCCCGCTTTCCATCACCCAGCCCCATTCTCCCACTTTCCATCACCCCACCCCATTTTCCCTCTTTCCATCACCCCGCCCCATTCTCCCTCTTTCCATCAACTCGCCCCATTCTCCCGCTTTCCATCACCCCGCCCCATTCTCCCGCTTTCCATCACCCCGCCCCATTCTCCCTCTTTCCATCACCCCGCCCCATTCTCCCGCTTTCCATCACCCCGCCCCATTCTCCCGCTTTCCATCACCATGCCCCATTCTCCCTCTTTCCATCACCCCGCCCCATTCTCCCTCTTTCCATCACCCCGCCCCATTCTCCCTCTTTCCATCACCCCCCCCCATTCTCCCACTTTCCATCACCCCGCCCCATTCTCTCTCTTTCCATCACCCCGCCCCATTCTCCCGCTTTCCAGCACCCCGCCCCATTCTCCTGCTTTCCAGCACCCCGCCTGATTCTCTCGCTTTCCATCACCCCGCCCCATTCTCCTGCTTTCCATCACCCCGCCCTATTCTCCCGCTTTCCATACCCCGCCCCATTCTCCCTCTTTCCATCACCCCGCCCCATTCTCCCGCTTTCTATCACCCGCCCCATTCTCCCGCTTTCATCACCTCGCCCCATTCTCCCGCTTTCCATCACCCCGCCCCATTCTCCCTCTTTCCATCACCCCGCCCCATTCTCCCTCTTTCCATCACCCCGCCCCATTCTCCCTCTTTCCATCACCCCGCCCCATTCTCCCTCTTTCCATAAACCCGCCCCATTCTCCCGCTTTCCATCACCCCGCCCCATTCTCCCGCTTTCCATCTCCCTGCCCCATTCTCCCGCTTTGCATCACCCCGCCCCATTCTCCCGCTTTCCATCACCCCGCCCCTCTCTCCCTCTTACCATCACCCCGCCCCACTCTCCCTCTTACCATCACCCCGCCCCATTCTCCCGCTTTCCATCACCCCGCCCCATTCTCCCTCTTTCCATCACCCCGCCCCATTCTCCCTCTTTCCATCACCCCGCCCCATTCTCCCTCTTTCCATCACCCCGCCCCATTCTCCCGCTTTCCATCACCCCGCCCCATTCTCCCGCTTTCCATCACCCCGCCCCATTCTCCCTCTTTCCAGCACCCCGCCCCATTTTCCCGCTTTCCATCACCCCGCCCCATTCTCCCGCTTTCCAGCATCCCGCCCCATTCTCCCGCTTTCCATCACCCCGCCCGATTCTCCCGCTTTCCATCACCCCGCCCCATTCTCCCGCTTTCCATCACCCCGCCCCATTCTCCCGCTTTCCATCACCCCGCCTCATTCTCCCTCTTTCCATCACCCCGCCCCATTCTCCCGCTTTCCATCACCCGCCCCATTCTCCCGCTTTCCATCACCCCGCCCCATTCTCCCGCTTTCCATCACCCCGCCCCACTCTCCCTCTTACCATCACCCCGCCCCATTCTCCCTCTTTCCATCACCCAACCCCATTCTCCCTCTTTCCATCACCCCGCCCCATTCTCCCGCTTTCCATCACCCCGCCCCATTCTCCCTCTTTCCATCACCCCGCCCCATTCTCCCTCTTTCCATCACCCAGCCCCATTCTCTCGCTTTCCATCACCCCGCCCCATTCTCCTGCTTTCCATCACCCCGCCCTGTTCTCCCGCTTTCCATACCCCGCCCCATTCTCCCTCTTTCCATCACCCCGCCCCATTCTCCCGCTTTCTATCACCCGCCCCATTCTCCCGCTTTCATCACCTCGCCCCATTCTCCCGCTTTCCATCACCCCGCCCCATTCTCCCTCTTTCCATCACCCCGCCCCATTCTCCCTCTTTCCATCACCCCGCCCCATTCTCCCTCTTTCCATCACCCCGCCCCATTCTCCCTCTTTCCATCACCCCGCCCCATTCTCCCTCTTTCCATCACCCCGCCCCATTCTCCCTCTTTCCATCACCCCGCCCAATTCTCCCTCTTTCCATCACCCCGCCCCATTCTCCCGCTTTCCATCACCCCGCCCGATTCTCCCGCTTTCCATCACCCCGCCCCATTCTCCCGCTTTCCATCACCCGCCCCATTCTCCCGCTTTCCATCACCCCGCCCCATCCTCCCGCTTTCCATCACCCCGCCCCACTCTCCCTCTTACCATCACCCCGCCCCATTCTCCCTCTTTCCATCACCCAACCCCATTCTCCCTCTTTCCATCACCCCGCCCCATTCTCCCGCTTTCCATCACCCCGCCCCATTCTCCCTCTTTCCATCACCCCGCCCCATTCTCCCTCTTTCCATCACCCCGCCCCATTCTCCCTCTTTCCATAAACCCGCCCCATTCTCCCTCTTTCCATCACCCCGCCCCATTCTCCCGCTTTCCATCACCCCGCCCCATTCTCCCGCTTTCCATCACCCCGCCCCATTCTCCCGCTTTCCATCACCCCGCCCCATTCTCCCGCTTTCAATCACCCCGCCCCATTCTCCTGCTTTCCATCACCCCGCCCCATTCTCCCGCTTTCCATCACCCCGCCCCATTCTCCCTCTTTCCATCACCCCGCCTCATTCTCCCTTCCATCACCCCGCCCCATTCTCCCGCTTTCCATCACCCAGCCCCATTCTCCCACTTTCCATCACCCCACCCCATTTTCCCTCTTTCCATCACCCCGCCCCATTCTCCCTCTTTCCATCAACTCGCCCCATTCTCCCGCTTTCCATCACCCCGCCCCATTCTCCCGCTTTCCATCACCCCGCCCCATTCTCCCTCTTTCCATCACCCCGCCCCATTCTCCCGCTTTCCATCACCCCGCCCCATTCTCCCGCTTTCCATCACCATGCCCCATTCTCCCTCTTTCCATCACCCCGCCCCATTCTCCCTCTTTCCATCACCCCGCCCCATTCTCCCTCTTTCCATCACCCCCCCCCCATTCTCCCACTTTCCATCACCCCGCCCCATTCTCTCTCTTTCCATCACCCCGCCCCATTCTCCCGCTTTCCACAACCCGCCCCATTCTCCTGCTTTCCAGCACCCCGCCTGATTCTCTCGCTTTCCATCACCCCGCCCCATTCTCCTGCTTTCCATCACCCCGCCCTATTCTCCCGCTTTCCATACCCCGCCCCATTCTCCCTCTTTCCATCACCCCGCCCCATTCTCCCGCTTTCTATCACCCGCCCCATTCTCCCGCTTTCATCACCTCGCCCCATTCTCCCGCTTTCCATCACCCCGCCCCATTCTCCCTCTTTCCATCACCCCGCCCCATTCTCCCTCTTTCCATCACCCCGCCCCATTCTCCCTCTTTCCATCACCCCGCCCCATTCTCCCTCTTTCCATCACCCCGCCCCATTCTCCCTCTTTCCATCACCCCGCCCCATTCTCCCTCTTTCCATCACCCCGCCCCATTCTCCCTCTTTCCATCACCCCGCCCCATTCTCCCGCTTTCCATCACCCCGCCCGATTCTCCCGCTTTCCATCACCCCGCCCCATTCTCCCGCTTTCCATCACCCGCCCCATTCTCCCGCTTTCCATCACCCCGCCCCATCCTCCCGCTTTCCATCACCCCGCCCCACTCTCCCTATTACCATCACCCCGCCCCATTCTCCCTCTTTCCATCACCCAACCCCATTCTCCCTCTTTCCATCACCCCGCCCCATTCTCCCGCTTTCCATCACCCCGCCCCATTCTCCCTCTTTCCATCACCCCGCCCCATTCTCCCTCTTTCCATCACCCCGCCCCATTCTCCCTCTTTCCATAAACCCGCCCCATTCTCCCGCTTTCCATCACCCCGCCCCATTCTCCCGCTTTCCATCACCCCGCCCCATTCTCCCGCTTTCCATCACCCCGCCCCATTCTCCCGCTTTCAATCACCCCGCCCCATTCTCCTGCTTTCCATCACCCCGCCTCATTCTCCCTTCCATCACCCCGGCCCATTCTCCCGCTTTCCATCACCCAGCCCCATTCTCCCACTTTCCATCACCCCACCCCATTTTCCCTCTTTCCATCACCCCGCCCCATTCTCCCTCTTTCCATCAACTCGCCCCATTCTCCCGCTTTCCATCACCCCGCCCCATTCTCCCGCTTTCCATCACCCCGCCCCATTCTCCCTCTTTCCATCACCCCGCCCCATTCTCCCGCTTTCCATCACCCCGCCCCATTCTCCCGCTTTCCATCACCATGCCCCATTCTCCCTCTTTCCATCACCCCGCCCCATTCTCCCTCTTTCCATCACCCCGCCCCATTCTCCCTCTTTCCATCACCCCCCCCCATTCTCCCACTTTCCATCACCCCGCCCCATTCTCTCTCTTTCCATCACCCCGCCCCATTCTCCCGCTTTCCAGCACCCCGCCACATTCTCCCGCTTTCCAGCACCCCGCCTGATTCTCTCGCTTTCCATCACCCCGCCCCATTCTCCTGCTTTCCATCACCCCGCCCTATTCTCCCGCTTTCCATACCCCGCCCCATTCTCCCTCTTTCCATCACCCCGCCCCATTCTCCCGCTTTCTATCACCCGCCCCATTCTCCCGCTTTCATCACCTCGCCCCATTCTCCCGCTTTCCATCACCCCGCCCCATTCTCCCTCTTTCCATCACCCCGCCCCATTCTCCCTCTTTCCATCACCCCGCCCCATTCTCCCTCTTTCCATCACCCCGCCCCATTCTCCCTCTTTCCATCACCCCGCCCCATTCTCCCTCTTTCCATCACCCCGCCCCATTCTCCCTCTTTCCATCACCCCGCCCAATTCTCCCTCTTTCCATCACCCCGCCCCATTCTCCCGCTTTCCATCACCCCGCCCGATTCTCCCGCTTTCCATCACCCCGCCCCATTCTCCCGCTTTCCATCACCCGCCCCATTCTCCCGCTTTCCATCACCCCGCCCCATCCTCCCGCTTTCCATCACCCCGCCCCACTCTCCCTCTTACCATCACCCCGCCCCATTCTCCCTCTTTCCATCACCCAACCCCATTCTCCTTCTTTCCATCACCCCGCCCCATTCTCCCGCTTTCCATCACCCCGCCCCATTCTCCCTCTTTCCATCACCCCGCCCCATTCTCCCTCTTTCCATCACCCCGCCCCATTCTCCCTCTTTCCATAAACCCGCCCCATTCTCCCGCTTTCCATCACCCCGCCCCATTCTCCCGCTTTCCATCACCCCGCCCCATTCTCCCGCTTTCCATCACCCCGCCCCATTCTCCCGCTTTCAATCACCCCGCCCCATTCTCCTGCTTTCCATCACCCCGCCCCATTCTCCCGCTTTCCATCACCCCGCCCCATTCTCCCTCTTTCCATCACCCCGCCTCATTCTCCCTTCCATCACCCCGCCCCATTCTCCCGCTTTCCATCACCCAGCCCCATTCTCCCACTTTCCATCACCCCACCCCATTTTCCCTCTTTCCATCACCCCGCCCCATTCTCCCTCTTTCCATCAACTCGCCCCATTCTCCCGCTTTCCATCACCCCGCCCCATTCTCCCGCTTTCCATCACCCCGCCCCATTCTCCCTCTTTC